ATGAAACAGCCTGTTGCCTCTGAGTGTTGACTTCAGTGTTCACTTTTATATTTAAGGCAATAAATCCACTAAGACACAAGGGGTTACTGACTGTGAAAAAATAAGAAAAAGAAAACCATTATTTAGGAACAAGTCGAATAAAAGAAAAGGAATAAACAAGACAAACGATAACGATTGACATTGCATTTAAATTTTTGAAAATCAATGTTGGCTTGAAAGCATGGATCCGGAAGAGAGTTCCACAATTGAGAAATGCTAGAAAAGACACTGTTACCAAAGAACTTTGGGTTACATCTATTTCAACTGTGATATTGATCACTTTATCCCAGAAATATATCATTTCTTCACATATATATATGTAACAAACAAATCCACATGAAAGGCATACCAAAGGGTTGACCATCATATGGTTTGATGTATTAGCCTTTGATTTAGTGTTAATTCTTAATTCTCTCAGATGGTTCATACAATTCTTTTCAAATACCTTGGTAGCAGGTATTTCTTCAGTTTGATCAGTTTTTGGCATCAACTTCGAACTCCTCTATAAGGAGGTTTGCAGCAATTAAATTGTATTTAAGTTTATCCTTGAAGTGTAACCAAGGATGACCTACATTATGTTTACCATGAAAAGATGGCTATACATGAGGATTTTCTCTATCCAATCATCACTCATTCTGATGGTATGACCAGCCCATTTGAACTGTGATTGCATCAGATAGGATTCAATACCACTGACACCACATTTGATGAAAAGAGCAGGGTTAAAACTTTTGTCCTGTCATGTATGACCACATATTAAATGAAAACAGCATTTATGAAAAGCTTCAAGTTGATGGATGTGTGTCCTTCACGGTCTCCACAATTTTGACCCATATATATATATATATATATATATATATATATATATATGTATGTATTGTGTATATTTAGGCAGCAATTTTTCATTGATGCACATTTCATTAAATTATATAGACAAGTTTTGTCTATTTTGAGTAACTTCATTTCATATTGTCTGATAAGCATTAATAACATTATCATTGAAAGACGAAAGGAAATCACCATATTGATACATGTTTAAATCCAATCTAAGCTTTCAGCTTACATAAGCCATTATCAAAGATGACAATTACTTTTCAATATATCAACCAATACACGGACAAAACAATAATGATAATCTGTTTTTGTTGCATGAAAGATTCAAAGCAATGACTTACTCATGTATATACAATATGCAGAAACCGAAAGCTTAGATAGGATTTAAACATGTATCAATATGGTGTTTTCCTTTCGTCTTTCAATGATAATCTTATTAAGCTTATCAGACAATATGAAAGGAACTTACTTAAAATAAATAGACAAAACTTGTCTATATTATTTAATGAAACATGCATTAATGATATATATATATATATATATATATATATATGATATAATGATATATAATTTTGTATAATTTTATATATCACCCAACTGTATTTAGAAAAATTGACAAACTGGAAAGTTTTTTGTAATGCATTTCATCCGTTATGATTTCCTTGGATTGATGTTGCTACATGCACATCAGATACCCTATTTCATTTTCAATGTGAAACAAAAGGTACATAAAATATTCTAAAATAGAATAGCTGTCCTTCCTGACAAACCTAATGAATCCAAAAAATATATTATTCTACCCACAAACTCTATCATAGCTACAACTGAAAAGAATTTATCTAAACTCAACATAAAATTTGTCACAACTACAGGTAAAACAATGAAAGACTTAATCAACAAAAAAACAAAAAACAAAACAACCAGCCAAAACTTGAAGGAGGAATTTGCTTGATTAAATGCAAGAATTGCCAGAATGGATACATTGGAGAAGCCTCAAGAAGTTTGAACACGAGTCTGTATGAAGCCAAAAGGGACATTTTAAATAACAACACACAAAACACATTGGTTGTTCACTGTAACAAAACAGAGCACAATTTTATACAACCAGTGTATAATAATGAAAATTCTTCATCTGAAAAACTTGGTTAAAAACTTTCTGTTTTAATGAGAGATCCTTTAGCATTTAGAGGGAAATGTGAACAATCTACCCTTGATTGATTCAAGTTTGGAATTACAATAAGGTTAACTATGACATACCCTTGAAGAAGCCTAGATGATGTAACAGCCAAAAGGCTGTATCTATAATACCCAAGATGAAGATATATGTCGATGTGTATCTATGTATAATAATGATAATTCCACATTGCAAAATGAAAACAAAAAATCATGACCTTTGTTATTTCCCACCAATCAAGTAGATTCCAATTAGACGAAGAATTCAGAACACTTTTGCTGACAATTAGCTATTGAATAATTATTTAAGAAAATAAGAAATGGAAACAAAATGATTCCATTTATATATATATATATATATATATATATATATATATATATATTCTAATTAAAAATAACCAGCAAGATTATTATTATTATTGATCAGGTTAATGTAGGTTTTTTCTTTTTTTGATTCAGGTACAAAGCTCTTTTCAGATCCGAATCTCATTTGATTTGAAATATGAAAGAGGAGAGCTTTGAGAAGGTCATTTCAGGTTGTTGGGGGTGGGGGGGTTCTTTGATGATTTTTTTGGCTGGAATCCAGTTTCCTTATTTGGCAAACAAAACTCTTGTGCCTGGTGTTCATTCTTCATGTCCAATGCAATTGAACAAATTTACCCCCTTAGCTCCCCAAACTGAAAATGACCTCCCACCCAGCAAACTTTTAAAAAAACAAATCATTTCACCCCAAGCAAGGTAATAAAGCCACTAAGACACAAGGGGTTACTGACTGTGAAAAAATAAGTAAAAGAAAAAAACTTTATTAAGGAGCAAGTACAATAAAAGAATAAGAATCCAGAAGACAAAAGATAACGATTGACATTGCATTTAAATTTTTGTAAATGAAACTTGGCTTGAAAGCATGGAAGAGAGTTCCACAATTGAGAAGTGCGAGAAAAGAAACTGTTACCAAAGAACTTAAGGTTACATCTAACCATTTCAACTGTAAAATGATGAGAACTTGATGCCAATCTAGTACTGCACTTAAATTCATAAAGTCTAGGTCCCATATGCGAAAAGTTCATCAGAGCAATTACCACAAAAATATTTATAGGAAAGGCACATTACATTGGTAGAAAAGTTACTTAAGCCTGGATGCCAGGTAAGGACCAGTGAAATTGCATATTCTTCTTTGAATTTTATCAAGAATCTCTAAATATATAGCAGGTGCACCAGATCAGATGTGACAACATTCTAAGAATGGATGAATGGTCAACTTATAAATATGTAAGATACATTCTGGAGAGAAAAATTGTCTAGCATAACACAGTGAACCAAATTTCCTAGCAGCAGACCTAACAATTGATTCAATATAATCTTTCCACTTCATGTCAGTAGAGAACATTAGCTCGAGGAGGTGTAACGGGTCACTATCCTGGATTGAAACTTCTTAAATCTGCGCCAATTGGCACATATATAAGAATTCGTAAAAATTGTTTCATGGGTAATACAGAGACTTGCAAGAATTAATCTTCTTCTTTATGTACTATGTTTCTTCAGGACATAGGCAATCATGGCTCTCCACACATTCCTGTTCTTCATAGCTATTAATATATTTTGTCGTTTTGTTATTTCATAGTAAACTTGATCTACCATCCATTTACTTATGATCACTAAGCTCATGCATTGTTTTCTTCTGTTTCTCTTGCCTTCAATCCGTCCTGTGAGTATCCAATTTTCCAAGCCACCTTTTCTCATCATGTACCCTAGAAATTTCAACTGTCTCTTAATGATGCTAAGTATAAGTGTCCTTTTTGCCTCAAGTCTCTTCTTTATCTGCGAGCATTCACTGCCATATTGTAGGACTGATATTATATAATCATTCAGCATTCTTTTCTTTGTTTCAGTTGCCTCAAGACTCCTCTTCATCTGTGAGGAGATTGTCCAGCATTCACTGATATTATATAACCGTTCATTACCCTTTTCTTTGTTTCTCTTGCCTCAAGTCTCTTCTTCATCTGTCTAGCATTCACTGCCATATAGGTGGACTGATATTTTATAACCATTCAGCACCCTTCTCCTTGTTTCTCTTGCCTCAAGTCTCTTCTTCATCTGTGAGGAGATTGTCCAGCATTCACTGCCATATAGGAGGACTGATATTATATAACCGTTCAGCACCCTTTTCTTTGTTTCTGTTGCCTCAAGACTCTTCTTCATCTGTGAGGAGATTGTCCAGCATTCACTGCCATATCGGAGGACTGATATTATATAACAGTTCAGCACCCTTTTTTTTGTTTCTGTTGCCTCAAGTCTCTTCTTCATCTGTGAGGAGATTGCCCAGAATTCACTGCCATATAGGAGGACTGATATTATATAACCATTCAGCACCCTTTTCCTTGTTTTAGTTGTCTCAAATTTCTTCTTCATCTGAGGTTGTCCAGCATCCACTGCCTATAGGAGGACTGATATTATCTGTTCAGCACTCTTTTCTTTGTTTTCTTTGCCTTAACCGGGTATTGAACAGTGGATAAAAGCATTAGTTCGATGCAGTGATAAGAGTGTGAGTTCAATATCCGCTTAAAGCAGTAGAGAACTTGGAGAGGGGAATTAACAGGACATAACTGATAACTGACATCCATTAAACATGGCACGTGGAACTAGAACAGTCTACCCCAGTGAGCGAAATAATGGGTTCACTTCAACATTCCAACCACCTGAAGAAGGCCGGAGCATACAATATCTGAAATGTTGTAATAAATATGGCGACAAAGATGAGGACAATAGTCTGAATAATGTAAAATAAATTTAGTACAAATATACAAAAATAGAAAGGGCTGTAAGACATGGATGGGTCTTCTCTCAGTGAAGATACATGTCTGATTAAGCTGATTCTGAAAGAATTACATGTCCTACCAGGATTTATTATTAGTGGTCACAATCTTAATAATATTAGATATGCAGATGGTACCTGAATGTTTTCTTTTTTACATACCTGGATTGTACCTTCTTTTTTAGTCACCCTGAAAGTGCTTTCTTGTTTATTTACTCCGAAGGTACTTCTTTTTTTTACTTATCCTGATTAAGCTTTCTTTTTTACTTATATTGAAACGACTTACTTTTTTTACCTTCCCTGAAGGTCTTTCTTTTTACTTCCTCATTAGAGATTTTTTTTTTTAATTACTCCAAAGGAGCATCTGTTTTAATTTACCCTGAAGATATTTGTTTTATAATCACCTTAAAGGTAACTCCTTTTTTACTTGCCCTAAAGGCACTTTCTTTTTTACTTATCCTGAAGCTAATTTTTTTTTTTACTTACCCTAAAGGTACTTACTTTTTCACATTCCCTGAAGGTACTTACCTTTTTCACATTCCCTGAAGGTACTTTCTTTTTCACATTCCCTGAAGGTACTTACCTTTTTCACATTCCCTGAAGGTACTTACCTTTTTACATTCCCTGAAGGTACTTTCTTTTTCACATTCCCTGAAGGTACTTTTTTTTTCACATTCCCTGAAGGTACTTACCTTTTTTTCACATTCCTGAAGGTACCACCTTTTTACATTCCCTGAAGGTACTTTCTTTTCACATTCCCTGAAGGTACTTTCCTTTTTACATTCCCTGAAGGTACTTTTTTTTCACATTCTCTGAAGGTACTTACCTTTTTACATTCCCTGAATGGACTTTCTTTTTCACATTCCCTGAAGGTACTTTCTTTTTCACATTCCCTGAAGGTACTTACCTTTTTACATTCCCTGAAGGTACTTTCTTTTTCACATTCCCTGAAGGTACTTACCTTTTTACATTCCCTGAAGGTACTTTCTTTTTCACATTGCCTGAAGGTACTTACTTTTTCACATTCCCTGAAGGTACTTACCTTTTTCACATTCCCTGAAGGTACTTTCTTTTTCACATTCCCTGAAGGTACTTACTTTTTCACATTCCCTGAAGGTACTTACCTTTTTCACATTCCCTGAAGGTACTTACCTTTTTACATTCCCTGGAGGTACTTTCTTTTTCACATTCCCTGAAGGTACTTTCTTTTTCACATTCCCTGAAGGTACTTACTTTTTCACATTCCCTGAAGGTACTTACCTTTTTACATTCCCTGAAGGTACTTTCTTTTTCACATTCCCTGAAGGTACTTACCTTTTTACATTCCCTGAAGGTACTTTCTTTTTCACATTTCCTGAAGGTACTTTCTTTTGTACTCACTCTGATGGTACATTCTTCTTTACTCCCATTGGAGGTATTTTCTTATTTTACTTACACTGATGGTACTTACTTTTTTACTTATCCTGGAAGTACTTCTTTTTTTTACTTTCCCTGAAATGATTTCTATTTTTACTTGTCCTGGAGGTACTTGCTTTTTTAATTACTGTGATGGTGCCTCCTTGACTTACTCTGAAGGTACTTTCTTTTTTACTCACCCTGAATGTAATTTCATTTTTTACTTCTCCTGATTGTACTTTTTTTTCACCTTGAAGACACTTTCTTTTTGGCTTATCCAAACGGTATTTTCATTTTTACTTCTTCTGATGGTACTTTTTTTGTCTCACTTTCAAGGTGCTTTCTTTTTTACTTACTCAGAAGGTACTTACTTTTTTAGTTATCCTGGAGGTACTTTCTTTTTTATTCAATCTGAATGTACTTTCATTTTTACTTCCACTGATGGTACTTTTTCTCTCACTTTCAAGGTGCTTTTTTTTTTACTTACTCAGAAGGTACTTACTTTTTTAGTTATCCTGGAGGTACTTTCTTTTTTATTCAATCTGAATGTACTTTCATTTTTACTTCCACTGATGGTACTTTTTTCTCACTTTCAAGGTGCTTTCTTTTTTACTTACTCAGAAGGTACTTACTTTTTTAGTTATCCTGGAGGTACTTTCTTTTTTATTCAATCTGAATGTACTTTCATTTTTACTTCCACTGATGGTACTTTTTTCTCACTTTCAAGAAGGTGCTTTTTTTACTTACTCAGAAGATGTACTTTTTTTCTCACTTTTCAGTTATCCTGGAGATACTTTCTTTTTTATTCAATCTAAATGTACTTTCATTTTTACTTCCTCTGATGGTACATTTTTCTCACTTTCAAGGTGCTTTCTTTTTTACTTACTCAGAAGGTACTTACTTTTTTAGTTATCCTGGAGGTACTTTCTTTTTTACTCAATCTGAGGGTACTTTCTTTTTTACTCAACCTGAATGTACTTTCATTTTTTACTTCCCCTGATTGTACTTTTTTTTCTCTCACCTTGAAGACACTTTCTTTTTTGCTTACCCTTGATGTATTTTCATTTTTACTTCCTCTGATGGCACTTTTTTGTCTCACATTGAAGGTGCTTTCTTTGTTACTTACCCAGAAGGTACTTACTTTTTTAGTTATCCTGGAGGTACTTTCTTTTTTATTCAATCTAAATGTACTTTCATTTTTACTTCCTCTGATGGTACTTTTTTCTCACTTTTTAGGTGCCTTCTTTTTTACTTACCCAGAAGGTACTTAGATTTTTAGTTTTCCTGGAGGTACTTCCTTCTTTATTTACCCTTGAGGTACTTTCTTTTTTACTCATTCTGAGGGGACTTTCTTTTTAACTCAACCTGAATGTACTTTCATTTTTAGTTCCTCTGATTGTACTTTTTTTCCCCTTGAAGGTGCTTTCTTTTTTTGCTTACCCAGAAGGTACTTACTTTTTTAGTTATCCTGGAGGTACTTTCTTTTTTACTCAGTCTGAGGGTAATTTCTTTTTTACTCAACCTGAATGTACTTTCATTTTTACTTCCTCTGATTGTACTTTTTTTCTCACATTCAAGGTATTTTCTTTTTTGCTTACCCAGAAGGTACTTACTTTTTTTAGTTATCCTTGAGGTACTTCTTTTCTTATTTACCCTTGATGTACTTTCTTTTTCACTCATCCTGAATATACTTTCATTTTTACTTCGTCTGATGGCACTTTTTTTTTCTCACATTGAAGGTGCTTTCTTTGTTACTTACCCAGAAGGTACATACTTTTTTAGTTATCCTGGGGGTACATTTTTATTTACCCTTAAAGCATTTTCTTTTTTACTTACCCTTGTAGTACTTTCTTATTTTTTATCAACCTGAAAGTGCTTTCTTTTTTATTCACGCAGATAGATTTTCATTTTTACTCACAACACTTAATGAGTTATTATGCTTTCCTCAATGAATTATTTTCATTACTGAATGCTTTTATAAACACCATGGTACTCTACTATTTAATTCTATTGCCTATTTCTTACATTTCCGCTTAATAAAAAGCAACAAATATAAAAATCAGACTTCTTATAACAGTTCTTCGTTCAAGAAATTCAAACAATTAATCACTAGTACATCTTCAACAGCAGGCAACAGTATCCCGTGGTCAGGAAAAATAGTCACTTTTGATAAATACTTGCTGGTGTGAAGTCTGTTATTTTCATTATCACACTTGGCATTGGAAATCTGTTATCCAAACTTGGGTCTGAACATTTGCCAAAGATATTTGGCCACACTGTACTTTGTATTGGTACAGTCTGCTACCATTTCCCAATAGTCAATTCATGGAATCAAAATAGCAAACTCAATCTTGTTCAAACAATCAAAAGAAAAAAAAAATGATGCCATTTTTTTTTTCCTGCTCAGTTCAACTAAATTTTATGAAGTTGTGCACAGAATAATGAAGAAAAAGCATATTCTTTGTAAACCATAATTCAAACTTTTATTGGGCTGTAAGGGGTTGATAGATAAATAAGGTCACTGGTTTTATAACATAAGTTAAGAAAAAAAAATATTAAAATGCAATTACACTGCTCAACAAAGAAAAAGTATTAAAATGCAATTCCACTGGTCAACAAAAAAATGTATTAAAATGCAATTACACTGGTCAACAAAAAAATATTAAAATGCATTTCCACTGGTCAACAAAGAAAAAACTTTCAATTGGTGTCGAGACTCCAAACATCTTTTTAATTAATTTGAGGTCACTGAATCTGAAAATGACCTTACTTTTTCTTGGTTACTGTTTTTGCTGTACAGAAATGCCTCATTTTTATAAAAAAAAAAAGCATTTTTTCATTTGTTTTCTGTATATATGATATTGATCGATGGCAATATTTCTCAAAATAAAATCGTAGAAACCTCTCACTTCATATTTCAACCAATAAATATTGGTCTGCTTATTGAGAAATACTATTTTTGCAAAAACAATCAGACCCTAAGTCTTTAAAAATAACATGATTGAATATACCAAGACCAACAAATATTCTCATCAAATCATTTAATAAACTAACAGCAGAAATAAAACCTTTGTGAACATAAGAACTATGGTAAAAATTTTCTCCTTTCTTGATTGTCTGTCATGCTCAATGTTATTTAAGTCCCTTTTGATACTCCTGCACAATCCTGTACAATGGAATAGGTGCATTCAATTGGGATGCCTTTAGTTAGAGTTTTTTTCTAACTGTGAAAACAAAATGCTCTCAAAATGCTTGGTTTACTTCCATACTGATGGGATAAATTTATGAATAGCAAACAGAAGATTTTAGAGTTACATTTTTTTGATGTCACCTTAATTATTAGGTTTACTAAAGTGTATTACTGATAAAGTTTATCAGTTAATTTGAATTTTGGCAATAAACTGGAAAAATTTGGTACCTCTATTTTAAAATTTTTGACTAAAAACATGTTTTTCTTATAAAAATAGTTTATTTAAATTGTTTGGCCTACCTGGACATTGATGGGTTTCTGTGACCTTTATTAACTAAATTTTGCGATCAGCCAAGATCGTAAATTGTTCTTTATTTTTCTCCAAAAATTTCAGTACAGCAAAAATGGTAGCTAATCATATTTTTCAGATTCAGCACCATCAAATTAGCTAGAACATGTTTTTATTTCTTGGCACCAAAAATGGTTTTGACCAGTGTAATGAAACAGGTTTTTTTTATAGAGAAATGAAACTGGGATCAAAATAAAGAAAATTCATTCATCTTCAAGATTAGGAGGATTGATTGATACCTAAGGCCCAACCAGAATCCTATACAACAAGTTTTAGACCAGATAGAATAATGAAACTGGTATCAAAATGAAGCAAATTCATTCCTCTTCAAAATTCTGGGTGTTTATTGGTAAGTAAGGTCTTCAATTCTATAAAACAAGTTTGAGAAAAATTAAGCTGATATCAGAATGAAGGAAAATTATGCCTCTTTATAATTAAAAAGGTTGATTGATAAGTAAGGTCTCCAATACTATAAAACAAATTTTAGACAAGATAGAATAATGAAACTGGTATCAAAATGAAGTCAGTATATTTCTCTTCAAAATTACGAGGGTTGTCTGAAAAGTAAGGCCTCTGATCACATGAAATAAATTTTAGACCAGATAGAATAATGAAACTGGTATCAAAATGAAGTCAATTTATTTCAATTCAAAATTATTGACTGATAAGGCCTCTGATCACATAAAATTTTAGACCAGATAGAACAATGAAACTGGTATCAAAAGAAGTCAATTTATTTATCTTCCAAATTACAAGGGTTGACTGAATAAGGCCTCTGATCACATGAAATAAGTTTTAGACCAGATAGAATAATAAAACTGGTATCAAATGAAGTCAATGTTTTCTCTTCCAAATTACAAGGGTTGACTGATAAGGCCTCTGATCACATGAAATAAGTTTTAGACCAGATAGAATAATAAAACTGGTATCAAAATGAAGTCAATGCATTTCTCTTCAAATTACAAGGGTTGACTGATAAGGCCTCTGATCACATGAAATAAGTTTTAGACTAGATAGAATAATAAAACTGGTATCAAAATGAAGTCAATGCATTTCTTTTCAAATTACAGAGGTTGACTGATAAGGCCTCTGATCACATGAAATAAGTTTTAGACTAGATAGAATAATAAACCTATCAAAATGAAGTCAATGCATTTCTTTTCCAAATTACAGAGGTTGACTGATAAGGCCTCTGATCACATGAAATAAGTTTTAGACCAGATAGAATAATAAAACTGCTATCAAAATGAAGTCAATGCATTTCTCTTCCAAATTACAAGGGTTGACTGATAAGGCCTCTGATCATTTGAAATAAGTTTTTAACCAGATAGAATAATAAAACTGGTATCAAAATGAAGTCAATGCATTTCTCTTCCAAATTACAAGGGTTGACTGATAAGGCCTCTGATCACATGAAATAAGTTTTAGACCAGATAGAATAATAAAACTGGTATCAAAATGAAGTCAATGCATTTCTCTTCCAAATTACAAGGGTTGACTGATAAGGCCTCTGATCACATGAAATAAGTTTTAGACTAGATAGAATAATAAAACTGGTATCAAAATGAAGTCAATGCATTTCTTTTCCAAATTACAGAGGTTGACTGATAAGGCCTCTGATCACATGAAATAAGTTTTAGACTAGATAGAATAATAAAACTGCTATCAAAATGAAGTCAATGCATTTCTTTTCCAAATTACAGAGGTTGACTGATAAGGCCTCTGATCACATGAAATAAGTTTTAGACCAGATAGAATAATAAAAAACTGGTATCAAAATGAAGTCAATGCATTTCTTTCAAATTACAACTGATAAGGCCTCTGATCACATGAAATAAGTTTTAGACCAGATAGAATAATAAAACTGGTATCAAAAATGAAGTCAATGCATTTCTCTTCCAAATTACAAGGGGTTGACTGATAAGGCCTCTGATCACATGAAATAAGTTTTAGACCAGATAGAATAATAAAACTGCTATCAAAATGAAGTCAATGCATTTCTCTTCCAAATTACAAGGGTTGACTGATAAGGCCTCTGATCACATGAAATAAGTTTTAGACTAGATAGAATAATAAAACTGGTATCAAAATGAAGTCAATGCATTTCTTTTCCAAATTACAGAGGTTGACTGATAAGGCCTCTGATCACATGAAATAAGTTTTAGACTAGATAGAATAATAAAACTGCTATCAAAATGAAGTCAATGCATTTCTTTTCCAAATTACAGAGGTTGACTGATAAGGCCTCTGATCACATGAAATAAGTTTTAGACCAGATAGAATAATAAAACTGCTATCAAAATGAAGTCAATGCATTTCTCTTCAAATTACAAGGGTTTCAAGGCCTCTGATCACATGAAATAAGTTTTAGACCAGATAGAATAATAAAACTGGTATCAAAATGAAGTCAATGCATTTCTTTTCCAAATTACAGAGGTTGACTGATAGGGCCTCTGATCACATGAAATAAGTTTTAGACCAGATAGAATAATAAAACTGGTATCAAAATGAAGTCAATGCATTTCTCTTCCAAATTACGAGGGTTGACTGATAAGGCCTCTGATCACATGAAATAAGTTTTAGACCAGATAGAA